TGGCTGTTTGAAACCTGGAGCTTATGCAGGGACACTTGGCTCAGTCTGGGAGGAGGGGACTGGACCTGCCTGGACTGAGTCTACCAGGTTGATCGCAGTCCTCGCAGGAGGCTTTGCCCTGGAGGAGGTGGGAATGGGGGATGGGCTGGGGGTAAGGGGAGGGGATGGGAGGGGGGAGAACAAGGGAACCCGTGGCTGATATGTAGAACTGAATGGTATTGTAAAATAAAATAAAAGAGGGGAAAAAAAAAGACTGAGCTAACCGGACTCGAACAGGCAGCAGCAAAACAAGACAAATGTGAGACCCTGTCTCAGTCAAGATGGAACGCAACAAATAAGGTTGTCCTCTGACTTTTTTGTTCCAAGTGACACACACACAGAGGTGGAGAGTGATTTAGGAAGACAACAAACATCAACCCTGACTACCAAAGAGACACACACGTGCCTATCAACACACAAAAATCAAAGCATTGGCTTTGATCCTTGAAGCTATTAGAAAATATAGTAAAACCCACTAATTCTGTTAATAGTGAAGTTATGAGAGAACTCAAGGGTTCTGTGCAACTAGGTCTTGGTAGTAAGTTATAAACATGAAAACTAAAAATGAGAACTGGGATAAATACCTCGCTGTTTGCTAAGAGTCATGAGCTGGGTATAACAGCTCAGGCAGAACGTCTAACATGTACGGAGGTCCTAGATTCTATTCTAATCACCCACCAAAAAGTCTATTCAGATCTTGCCAGGGTTGGTGGTACATGTCTGTGGTCATAGCATTCTGGAGGTAGAGGATGTGAGTTCAATCAAATTCAAGGCCGCACTGTGCTACCTAGCTCCAGCTCCAAGACAGAGGATTTTGGTTTGTCCTTTCTGTTGTGCTAAGACTGAATATAGCTTTCAGCATGCTGGGCAAGCACTCTACCACTGATCCATATTTCCAATTTCATTTAAGTAACTCTAAAAAATATTACTATCTGTTGTTTTTTTTAAGGTTGTCTCACAGGCATGCATCATCACTCAAACCTGTGTTAAGTAATTTTTAAATTACTTTTATTTTATGTACACTGGTCTTTTGCCTGCATATATGTCTGTGTGAGGATGTCAATTACCCTGGAACTAGAATCAGACAGTTGTGAGCTGCCATGTGGGTGCTGGGAATTGAACCTGGATCCTCTGAACAGCAGCCAGTACTCGAAACTGCTGAGCCTTCTCTCCAGCCCTATAATTCTTGTATTTTGTTCTGTTTTATCAAGAAATTACATGTGAATTTACTATTCTCTTGCTGCATAAATTTCATCAATCCCTCTTAATATCCAATTTGTCATTTATGTTTTATTTAAGCACTTTCATATTTCATCCAGGTATTTTCTTTATATGTAGGGCCAATTAGTTTCTGAATAATCAGAAAATAAAGATGTACTTTTGCTACACAATTGCTACACACACACACACACACACACACACCATGCAGGCTCGCCTTCTCAATAATTCTTTAGTTATTACTTTGCAACCAGTTAGCCCATCCCAGAACCTGACCAAAGACTACACTTAACAATTCACCATTTTGTCAGGTAGTGGTGTGCACGTCTTTAATCCCAGCATTTGGGAGACAGAGGCAGATGGGATCTCTGTGAGTTTGAGGCCAGCATAGTCTACAAATCAAGTTCCAGGACAGCCAGAGCTGTTACACAGAGAAACCCTGCCTTGAAAAAACCAAAATCAATTCACCATTTTAGCTCCGACCTGTAAAATAGGAACTACAGAGACAGCTTACTTGTGCCAGTCTCCAGAACACTGAGTCCAATACCTAGCACATCCAAAACAAGAGCTGGGAAGGTGGCATGGGAACAGCACAACAGATGGACCTGTGCCGGTCACTGGCCAGACAACCTAGCTGAATCAATGACACTAGATTGAGATACTGTTTCAAAACTAAGAGGAAAACTGGCAGGAAGAAGACATCCAAGGCTCTTATTCAGCTGGCTACAGAACTTACAAAACAAACAACAAAAATCCTCGGAGGACATAATGAACCCAAAGCCCTGGCCACATGTACTCACCAGTTCTTTAAGAACATCAATCAAAACCTCTACATTCCAGGTGTGTGCCTGTGCGCCTTCACTTTTATCTTTTCCATCACTCCAGATCCCACTGCCAGGAGCAGAGATGCTCTGTAAAAGTAAAACTACAATTAAGCAAATCCAAGTAATGTTTTCATCTCATCTTTAGATCAATCAATCATACTTCAATTTAATAAGCAGGAGAGGACAGAATTTTAAGTCTTTTGAGTAACAGTTGAAGTCAACAAACCTGTAATGGAATACCATCTGTTAATCCTGAATGAGTTCGAGCCATCATTCCCAAAACCCTGGCAACCTGGGCAGCTGTGACCTCCCGAACACCAAACTGCATGATTATATTGCGACATTCTTCAATACTGAAACAAAAATATAACTTTAAAAATATGCTTCCTTCCACCTCATAGACCAAAACTAAAAGGGGCTACTAATAAATGAGCTGTGGTGTGACATCCTTAACATAGTAAAGTTAATGTTTTATGTTATTTTTATGCAACTAGAAACGGAAAAATCACTAGCTTTAAGTTATTTCCAGTTGGGCAGTAGTGGCACATGCCTTTAATCCCAGCACTCAGGAGGCAGAGGCAGGCAGATCCCTGAGTTCAAGGCCAGCCTGGTCTACAGAGTGGATTCCAGGACAGTCAGAGCTAGAGAGAAAACTCTGTCTGGGAAGAAAAAAACAAACAAAAATAAAACAAACCAAAAAACTAAAACTAAAATCTTTAATTTTCAGTGTGACTCAACTTCCTTTCTAAGTTACACTGTGTAGGTGCACGTGCATGTGTGTCATCTGTTCAGACACCAGAGACAACTGGGTGGAATCTGTCCTTTCCTCCATCAAAAGGGTCCCAGAGATTGAACCCAAGTCAACAACACCTTTACCAGCTGAGCTCTCTCACCAACACAAAAAAATGGGGCTAATCACACTCAAAGGTCAATCTGATTACTCAAATATTTAGAAAACCTGGAAAGTGTATCCTATCTCTTTCATGTTGCTTCTAAAAGGTTAATTCAAAATAGCAAAGTGAATGTATGTGCTAAAATATGACTATCCTGGTGATTAAGAACTTGGTTCCTAAATTTTAGAAACTGGTAGGCATGAGAAGTCACAAGTTCAAGCCCTAGCATATTTATAGCTGACACCAACACTAGACTAGTGTATGGAAAATTAAAATTCAGAAGCGACAATCCTGATGCACACAATAACTACACAATATTGTATACTTGTTTTCAATAATTATGCTTAAGAACAGCCAAAATTTTGTTATGTCTTGCTACCAACCTTGCACAAAAGCCATAGCCTACTTCTTGCATGAAATCAGCCAGAGAGCTCTCCATCATGGTTTTAGCTACCCCTCCAGAATCAGGCAAGATCCTGTCCATTAGAATGTCCCGTTTTTCAGGGTATAAAAGTGGTGCAAGCACCACAGGACAACGCTCTTGGGGAAAATCTGAAGACAGAGAGGGAATACAACTGTTATCAACAACTAAAGACAACAACCTAGAGACTAAAGATGCAGCACATTAAGAGTCTGTGTGGCATGCCTGAGGTCCTGGGTTCAATGCCCAGCAACACATAAACGTGTATTTCTCCTTATGCTGCTGCTCTAAAATCCCTTCAAACCCAATTCTTCTGCAAGTTCATATTCAAATTCAAGCAGTTTATGGCTGAGTGTGGTCATGCACACCTTTAATCCCAGCACTCAGAAAGCAGAGGCATGTTGGTAGGACAGCCAGGACGACATAAAATGACTCTGTCTCCAAAAAAAAAAAGTACTGACCCAACCTAGCCCAGTGTGACCTCAAACCAACCCTAGAATTTGAATTTGGGTGTCTCAAAACAACTGCTCACGTGTATACTTTTTAACTTTTCCTGTGTAAATTCCAGCAGCTGTTTATCAATTCATGCTGCATATTAAACTTTTATAGCAAAATTCCCATATGAAGGACAGAATTCATTACAGGGGAACAGAATGCATTACATCTATAAATGTTTCTTGTGACTGAAAAATTTGATGCAGTTTAAATTAAACTATACAAACAACAACAGGAAGTAAAGAAGTCATATTTCTTTCTTTTTGAGGATAAAAGGATGGGATTTATTGAGCTTGAATTACAAAGCAAACTGCTGAGGAAATAATACACTATCAAAATGGCCAACCTAGCTGGATGTGGTGGCACAAAGCCTTTAATCCCAGCACTCAGGAGGCAGATCTCTGAGTTCCAGGCCAGGCTGGTCTATCAAGTGAGTTCCAGGATAGCCAGGGCTACATAGAGAAACCCTGTCTTGAAAAATAAAAAACAGAGCTGGAGAGATGGTTCAGCAGTTAAGAGCACTGGCTGCTCTTCCAGAGGTCCTGAGTTCAATTCCCAGCAACCACATGGTTGCTATGGGAAGTTCTGTATGGCAAATGTGTTGCTCTGATTGGTTAGTAAATAAAACACTGATTGGCCAGTAGCCAGGCAGGAAGGATAGGCAGGACAAGCAGAGAATGAGAATTCTGGGAAGTGGAAGGCTGAGTCAGGGAGACACTGCCAGACGCCGCCATGACAAGGAAGATGTAAGGTACAGGTAAGCCACAAGCCATATGACAAAGTACAGATTAATAGAAATGGGTTAATTTAAGATATAAGAAGTAGATAACAAGAAGCCTGCCACGGCCATACAGTTTATAAGTAATATAAGCGTCTGAGTGATTATTTTATACGTGGGTTGTGGGACTGCGGGGGTGGGGGTGGGGGTGGGGGCGGCTTGGTGGAACCTGGAGAGAAGCTCTCCAGCTACACATGGTGGCTCACAACCATCTATAATGAGATCTAGTGCCCTCTTCTGGCCTACAAGCAGAACACTATATACATAATAAATAAATCTTTTAAAAAAAAAAAAAAGGAAAGAAAAAAGAAAAACAAAAACAAAAAAAACCCACAAAAATGTGGCCAACCATTCACATTAAAAGCAGCATGTCACTATATTGTAGTCTCCCTCCCTAAAGTGGAAAGACAGGAGAGAAATATGCCTAGTCTTACCTGTGATTGTACTTATATAACAAACATCACAGATAAAATTAGGTTCACTTTATACTTATTCTTTAACAAAGTTCTACTATAACTTTTATATTTAAAATGGTATGACTGTCTTTTGTTTATACAACTAAAAAGAAACAGGAAATCACCATCTTCACTTATATCCCAACATGCTTTTTTAATCCTAGTTTTGTGACCACCTGTGATAGGCTATGCCTTACCTCTGCGCAGTGTCTTGAGGAAAGCGTCTATCTGTTCCTGTCCAACTCCAAAGGCTCCCTTCTGCCCAAAGAGGAGATGGGAGAGTAGGAGATGTAGGACCTCTATTGCTATATCTTGGAAGCCACCTTCTTGATTTCCACTGACGTCTGCGTCTATGTAAGAACGCAGAAGATCTGGAAGCTTCTGTTTGATAAACTGGGCAGCTAAAAGTCAAATAAACCAAGTTACTTTTATATAATAGGCTAAAAAATAGTCAAATGTTCACCCCTTGTATTCACCAACATACATTTTTACCTCTCTCATGCTTTCACATAGCTCTGTCTGAGGAGTATACTCAAACAGTAGCTGGTGAAATGAAGAAAATTTTTATAAGATGGTTCTGGCCAGGCATGGTGTGGTATACACTTTTAATCCCAGTACTCAGGAGGCAGAGGCAGGTGGATTTCTGTAAATTTGAGACCAGTCTGGTCTACAGAGTGAGTTCCAGGACAGTCAAGGTTATTATAACAGAGAAACCTTGTCTCAAAAAAAAAAAAAAAAAAAAAAAAAAGGTCTTCAATCCCAACACTCATGAGGCAGAGACAGGTGGATCTCTGAGTTTTGAGGCCTACCTGGTGTACATAGGGAGTTACAGGACAGCCAGAACACAAGCATCATAGCACATGGCTGCAATCTCAGCACTTAAGGGAAACTAAGTCTGAGGTCAGCCTGGGCTATACAAGCCCAACTTTGTCTTAAAAACAAGAACAAAAGCTGAAGAAATAGCAGTTAAAAGCACTTGTTACTCTTGCAGAGGACCCAGGTTCAGTTCCCAACATGCATGTGGCATCTCACAAGTTCCAGAGGACCTGACACTTTTTTTCTAGCCTTCTCAAGTACCAGGTATACACATGATGCACTTACAGATATGAAAAACATTCATACAGGCATATATTTAATTTTAAAACAACAAAAACTACTTAAGAATCCAGGGACGTAGGTCAGAGGTAGAGATTTTGTCTAACATTCCAAAGCCCTGGATTTGACACCTAATACCACACAATTAAAGAAGCAACCAAGAAAGAATCTTGTACTCAGTATAAAATAACTTACCAAAACCCCTGAGATCTGAGCTAGAAGAATTCAAAAGGGCAAGACCAAAAATGACCTGGAACAAGAAGGAGTTAGATTAACAAGATCAAACAGTTTTAACTTTCATTTCTGCCTACATCTCTTTGCTCAAGACACACACTCACCTCTTGTACTTTACTTAACTTGAGAACTTTACTCAGCTGGGCAAATAAATGGGGTGCAGGCTTTAAACTCTGAAACATAAAATTTTTTTAAGATTTAACTTTGTTGTTTTTTTTTTTAATGATGCAATTCTTTAACCAAGTTTTTAAAGAATTAGTTCATCCAATTATGGCACAATATACACATGACATAATTCTGAGCTACTATAAGCAATATACTATATTCTAGAACTGTAGACTGACAAACTTAGACCTTGCCCTATTCTGATCATCGAGTTTCCATTTACTACCAAGCAACTACCTTGATTCTCTCAGAAAGTTACAAAAGAAAGTCAATCCTTCAAATTTTAAGATATGGAACTATTAAAAAAAAAAAAAAGTACAGGTGTGGTAGTACATGCCTTTAATCCCAACACTCATAAGCCATAGTCAGATGGCTTTCTCTGAGTTCAAATCACCCTGGTCTACACAGTGACTTCCAGGACAGCTAAGGCTACATAGAGACCAAGTCTTTAAAGGGCAAAGCAAAACACACAAACACCAAAACCCGAGAAGTAAAGGTTCAGAGTCATTTTAAATAACTCAATATTAGATCATTTTAAATAACTCAGTATTAGAGCATATTCAAATTGGGTGTGGTGTTTCATGTCTACAACAGCCCAGCACTGAGAAGACTGAGACAGAATAGCCTCAATTACACAGAAAGACTCTGCCTCAAAAATGAAAGGGAGAGATAGGTATTATCATAATCTTACTAGAGATAAAATTGTACTAACCTTCTGGTAGTGCAATGGATTATCAATGGCATATGACAACGTCGAGATAAAATTTGGCTTTGTAATCAGCGAGGCACACTCCTGAATCAGAAACTGTGTCTTCAAAAAAAAGATAAAAATAAAAAAAGAACTTCCATTAACATTAACCATCATCTGACATAAATAAAGGAAAAGAGAACCTATGAACATTAGATGCTGTAGTTTTACTATCAAAACCAGCTCTTTAGTGCTGGGCAGTGGTAGCATACACCTTTAATGCCAGCACTCAGGAGGCAGAGGCAGGCAGATCTCTGTGAGTTCAAGGACAGCCTGGTCTACAGAGTAAGTTTTAGGTCAGCCAGTGCTGTTATACAGAGAAACAATGTCTTGAAGAAAACAAAAATCAGCTCTTTAAGAATTCCACTTTATCAGTAACTAGTGTTAAACCAAAATGTCCACATTAAAGTCCATTAGTAAGTCACAAACACTATCATAATTAACTCTGACAAGACTGAAAATCAAGCCTTTCAGAACATGAGATAGCCTATCTGCCTTGTCAAGCAGGCCCTCCCCCATTCCTGCTTCCTTCATCAGGCAGAACCAACAGGAGCTCCATAATCCTAAATTAGACTGTCTTCAGTATATAGTCAGGCAGAAAAGAGAATACAGAAAATTATACCCAATATCTCTTAACTACCCTTGTAAGATTATGTTCTGGATGTTATCTTGTACACAGTGTCCCTATATTATGCCCTAATCTTACAAAGTGATTGGGGATAATAGACATCAACTCTGTAGTCCCCAAATACCTGATGGAAATCTTTGCCACTGCTTTTACCATCGCCACTGAAATCCACATGTGAAAATAGACAGCGTAATAAATGCCTGTCTGCCTCAGGACCGTGCCGATTCACAATCTGAAACACAAAAACATTAAGTTTAAAGGAGAGTTTGGAAAAAAAAATAAGGACTAGGGATACAGGCCAATGGTAGCACTTGTCTAATATGCATGACACTTTGGATCTTATAAATACAGTTCTAGGAAAGTGAGCCTCTGGGGGTAAAATTCACCTTGTAGCAATAGTTATAGGAATTACTGCTAAGCATAGTGGCAAAGTCCTATAATCCTAGCTCTTGGGATTCAAAGAATGGTAGGTCAGGATTTCAAGGCCAGCCTCAAACTACAGAGAAAGTTTAAGCCAGTCTGGGTGGCAGAAGACCCTGTTCTCAAAAACAAAAGTAAATTACACAAATCACAGAAGTAGAAGTACCTATATGCAATGATTACTTTTAAATTTATTCTTTTTAAACTGGCTAAAAGAACATAAAAGCTACCATAAATTAACCCACATAACTAGGCATGATGGCCAACATATATTTTTTCTAAATGTCATCAAATAGAGGTTTTCAATTCAAGTTTTACATCACCAGCTTCCTAACTCAAACTGCCTTTACCAATCCACTCTTGACAAATACTGTGCATGACTAGACCTACATGAAGCTGTAGACAGCTAGATAGCTACATTCAACTTCAGTGATTGAAATGCTGACCTTGAACTTTCCAACTTTTGTTTGTTTTTGTTTTTGAAGACAAGGTTTCTCTGTGTAGTTTGGGAGCCTGTCCTAGAACTCACTCTGTAGCCCAGGCTGGCCTAGAACTCACAGAGATCCGCCTGCCTCTGTCTCCCAAGTGCTGGGATTAAAGGCGTGCACCACCACCACCCGGCTGACCTTTCCAACTTCTTGCTTCTCAAACTTTCCGATGGCTGTACCTGTCACCTCTAACTGGAAAAGGCCAGGCGAGCCTCTTCTCTTCTAACTACAGCGCCCCCACCACCACCACCAATTACCCCTTATTTGGCTTTGCTTTTCTCCACAGCATTTACTCTTACCTGAAAATTTCTTTTAATTTGCAGGAGATCAGGGAATTTGCAGTTTAGAAAGGAGCTTAGCAAACTTTGTGGGTAAATAGTTACATTTATTAAATGCTGCTATTAAGTTATCAAAACCCCCCAGGAAGGAATTATTGGCAGTCGGTGGCTGAGAGATGAAGAGTTACTCTCCATTGGGGAGAGGCCACTCATGCCCTAGTCCACTGGTTCTCAACCTTTCTAACGCTATGTATGACCCTTTATTACAGTTCCTGTTGTCCTGACCCCCAACATAAAATTATTTTCATTGCTACTTCATAACTAATTTTGCTGTTATAAATCATAATCTCTTTTAGAGACAGAGGATTGGTGTCAAAGGGGTCACAACACAAAGGTTGAGAACCACCTCAACTTTTAGTTAGTAGATGGCCACACTGATTGGACTCTGGAAGTTATTAATAACAACAACTATTACAAAATGGACCACCATGATTCTGGAAGATAGGGCAGGGGAACTAAGGGTAGTTGGAGGGAGGTAGAGGTGGATGGAAATGATCAAGATACATTATTTAAATGAAACCCAAAGAATAAAAAATACTATTTAAGGGATGGAGAGACAGCTTAGCAGTTAAGAGCATACACTGCTCTTTTAGAGGACCAAGTTCTCTTACCAGCACCCATACCAGGTGGGCTCAGGACTGCCTCTAACTCTAGCTTGAGGGATCTGACATTCTCATCTGGCCTCCAAAAGTCTATACATATACCAACAAGTAAATAAATCTTTAATATATGATGTATATATTACAGACATTAAAACTAAGTCAAACATGGTGGCATATATCTAAAACCCCAGTAACTAGGGAGGCAGATGCAGAAATACTGAAAATTTAAGACCATCCTCAGGTACACAGCAAGCTTAAGGCCAGTGAGGACTACATAAGACTCTGCCTAAAACAACAAAAGGACACACCAGTTGGTTATCCAATATCAAATGTCAGTCATGAAAACATACATGCAAGTAACATTATACAGACTGAGCAGGTTGTATTTTTAGAAATTATGTTATGCATACACATATACACATATGTACATAACAAAAACTAAAGAGAAAAAGAGGCCATGAATCTGAAAGAGAGCAAGGAAGGGTTTTTGGCAGGGTTTGTAGGGGAAATGATGTAATTATATTAATCTCAAAAAATAATAAAATTAATTTCAAAAAAAGTATGACAGTATCTGGGCACTGCGCATATGCTTCTATTGACAGCACTAGGAAGCTGAACCAGGAGGACTTCGAGTTCTAGGCATCCTGGGCTACAAAAGGAAACTCTGACTCAAACTAAGTAAGTGATCAATCAAATACATAACTACCTACTTTGGGTTAGGAATTGTATCAACTTTTGGATTAAATATCCTATTGAACTGCCTTAGGGTATCTTCAAAAATTGACAAAATGCATTCCTGGATAAAGACTGCAAGAAATTAAAATTCCACAGCCTGTGTCACAGTAAAGTTTACGAGTTTGCTGAATTGTTTTGACTGACCTCCGTTTCCATTTTCCCTATTCTCAAAACGTAAACATAAAGAAAGACTGCCCTGGGCCAATGAGATGGCTCAGTGGGTAAAGCCGTCGCCACCAACCCGACCAATCTGAGTGCATTCCCAGGAGCCACATGGTGGAAGGAGAGAAAGGAGAGAAGTGACTCCCTTGAGTTGTCCTCCAACTTTGCCAGCACCATGGTATGTTGTTTGGGGGGTGGGGGGTACAGAACATTTAGGTTGCAAAGCTTCTTGCTGAAGAAAATGTTCTCTGGAGTACTGTAAGAGCCTCCAGTCATCACTTCCAGTACACTTTCTATGTCCCACGTGTGGATAAAAATGCAATCTCAGCTGCCTGCTCGGGCCACTTGCTGCCATGTCTCTCCCAACATTGTGGACTCTCCCTCTAGAACTCGCACATTCAATCCCAGAACTTGGGAGGCAGCTCTGTGAATTCGAGGCTACCCAAACATACACAGGGAGTTCCTGAGAACTAAAGAGAGATCCAGTTTCAAAAAACAAAACAAAAACACCTCCACAATAAAGTCCATAGAGATGTTTCAGTTTAAGAGTAGAGCTAACAGAAAGTTCAACAAGCCACTTAAAATGTAGCACAGGCAGACAAGCTTTGGGCAACTTTTAACAGCAAATACACATCCTTTTGTATTTGGGGGGTGAGTGGGTACAGGTGACCCAGTGTGCGTTTGGCAGTTGGTTCTCTCCTCCTACTCTGTAGGATTCTAGGGACTCAACTCAAGGTTTATCAGGTTTGGCAACAAGCACTTTGCTCAGCCATTTTGCTGGCCCTCTTTTCTTTGTGTATGTGTGATTATGCATGAAGGTATGCGTGTGTGCATACCAGTGTATACCATTTGTGTAGAGCCCAGAGAGCTCTACAGCACCCACCTGTCTCCAGCTCCTCAGTGCCAGGGTTATAAAAGCATGTACCTGTATACCACCAAGCCTGACTCTTTACATAGACTCAGGAATCCTAACTCAGGTCTTTATATGCTACACAATGACCACTTAATCCATCAGCACCGGCTACAGGCATTTCAGATTGACTAAGAATAGCAATAATTACAGAACTACAAGAAAACAAATATCTGGTAGGAACTGGATCTCAAACAAAAAAGTCAGAGTACTTGAGAAGCAAAGGTGAGCAAATCTCTACCGAGTTCTGTATCAGCCAGGGCTACACAGTGAGACACTGTCTCAAACCACACATGCACAAGCAGGGTCAAGGCAGCTGGGACTATGGCTCAGTGGCTGCACACTTGTCTGGCAAGTACAAACTCTTAGATTCTATCCTAGGCAAAAACTAACCCAAACCCTCATCACCCACATTTTACATAAAGCAAAAAGAAGAAATGTGAATGTTAAATAACCATGATGGCCAGGCGGTGGTGGCACATGCCTTTAATCCCAGCACTCGGGAGGCAGAGCCAGGTGGATCTCTGTGAGTTCGAGGCCAGCCTAGTCTACAGAGCGAGTTCCAGGACAGACTCCAAAACTGCATAGAGAAACCCTGTCTCGAAAAACCAAAAAAAAAAAAAGACCATGATGATTAAATATCATTGCTATTTGGGGTTGGAAAAATGGGTCTGCAGGTAAGATGCTTGCTACCAACCTTGACAACCCAAGTTCTGTCCTCTGACCACCATAACCATCCTGTGGCACATGAAACCAGCCTCCATAGAAACAATAATATAAAAGTCATAAATAAATGTAATTTTTTTTGAGACAAGTGCCTCACTATGTAGCTCTGGCTGCCTCTGCTGCTTCGAGGTGGATCCAAGGCTAGCCTGGTCTACAGAGTAAGTTCTAGGACAGGCTACCCAGAGAAACCCAGTCTCGAAAACAACAACAACAAGAGACACAATACTGGTACTGAGATTAAGTTTACATTACCACAAACAGATGAAATTATGAATGAAATCTGCTTTAAAGAAATAGGGCAAATGGGCTAAGTGAAAATAGATTATGTCTTGAAATAAATAATAGGTAAGTATAGGTTTATTTTGTTATACTGTGACTATCCTTCAAATCAGTTGAGGCTGAGACAGGTGTGCTGAGTTCAAGACCAGCCTGGTCATAAAATACCCCCACATCAAAATCAAAGTGTTAATATTGTTAACACATCAAAGTGTTAATATTGTTTTAAAAGTATGACCATACATCAGCATTTTAAAAGACAAACCGAGATTTCAGTGTGAGACTTGCAGGGGTGGTGGCTACGGAGGCCATGCTGAGTGAGCTGCTGTCTGTGAAGGATCTGAAGAATTCTGAAAGGAAGTTTCAGTTTGACAAGCAGCTGGCTCAGTCTCCAAGAGCACATGGTGTGAGTGTGCCTGGTGCCTGGTGCGAAGCAAATACAATGACGACATACACAGAGCCATCACGCTGCTGGAAGAGCTGCTGCTCAAAGGGAGCCAAGAGGAACCCATGGGATTGTCTTCTACTTGGCCATGGGCAACTACTGGCTCAAGGAATAGGAAAAGGCTCTAAAG